CCGCAGCCTGTCACCCATGTCCAGCCTCTTCGGCTCCATCTGGACGCCGCAGAGCGCCCCCTACCATTACCACGGCCACCTGCAGCACGAACGCTCGGCGCCCATGTCGCCGGCGTCGCCCGTCACGCCGCCACACTCGCCATTCGCCCGAGAGTCGGCGGAGGCGCCCGTGTGCGGCGTTGCCGGCAGCGGCGGCGGAGGAGGCGGCGTCCCGTTCTCGAGCTTCAACCCTTTCGGCCCGCACATGAACCTGGACATCTGGAACTCCTCATCCAACCGCAGCTCCAACTCGCAGCTTTCAAACGACTCGGGCTACTGCGGCGATGTTTAATAAGAAAGGAGAAAAAAAAAGCATCACGATAATTGCAAAAACATATAGAACATGGCTATATACCACCAAGTTAAAAAAAAAAAGTTATTTTATCAATAATGGGGGAAAATGTGAATATTCCTTTTCTTTTATGTTCCCATTTTCAAACGTTGTGGACATTTGTTGTATATTTTTCTAGATGTTTTGCAGTTTTGATCATAGAAAATTAAAAACAAGGTTTTGTACTTGAACAATGTCCCATTTTTATTGCATCCTTTTTTTTTTTTTTATGATTACTTCAGTTGTTTAAAAGAAAATTAGCCTTGCAGGAATGTTTTACTACAGAAATATTTTGTACTGCAAAATGTAAAATTGTAAAAATATAATTTTTTTTTACGAGTTAAATACTTTGAAAAGAATCGCAAAAGTGAAGCGAAAAAAAGTCTTGAACCTGTCCTAATTTCACCTCATTTTTATTTTGGTCATTTATTTATTGTCTTCAAAATCAACATGCAACATTTAATCACCAAGTATTCATACAATATGTCATAATTTTTTTAAGTCACAAAAGTGGGAAGGAGATGAAAATTTTCCTTTTTTGATCTTAAAATAAAAACCTTTGTATCTTAAAAATGGGAAAAAAAACTAACATTGTCATGTTTTTAAGCAATTTTTACTTTTTATACAAAACCCCCACCGACATTTCTATAAGTCTAAATTGAAAAAATATGACTGAATAGTGTTGCATTGAATGTGACTTCTGTTTAATACTGTATTTGTGGTACAAAAGTGGTAAAAGGCCAAGCTTAGCGTTACCCACTAACCGCCACTTGGTGGCAGTAACAGCCTGCACCCGCCCTCCTGTTGCCACCCCCATGATGTCTGTCAGCCGTCTTTAATTGGTGAGTAGTTTTTACTTTATTGTACTTTGAATCTTGATTTGAATTTGACTTTGTTTAGTACCGAAATCCTCCTCTGACTTGTGATATTGTCCCTCACAGACTTCAGACCGAATGTAGAAGCGTCGAGTCTCCCTCTCCCGGCCATTGGAAAGAATGCAGGTACCTGAACACGTTTTATGTTTTGGAGGAGTGGCGGGGTTCTCTCAAACTTAACTTGAGTTTTGTGTGTTCAAGTGATGTGCATATCCTAAATCTGTATCATCAGCCAATTTCTGGGGACATAAATCACATAGTTTTAACAAAATGGTACAAAGAATAGATTTGCTTAATCCTGGTAACACAAATGAGAAACTAACATGATCTAGTCATGGCTAAACATGTTTTCAGTTGTTGCGGGGATCTACATCTGTTACATTTGGGTATCATAAATTCCGTGAACTTAACAGAAATTGTAATCAAGATGGGACTTAATATTGACAAAAAAAATTAGACACTCAATTGACTTTTTTGGTTTCAACATGCATTATGGGGACCTAAAACTGTCACTTTTGTGGGGGTCATACATCTCAACACCTTACTAGGAAGAAAAAAAAAAAAGATTTGTCAAAGGTTTTTGATGACGAAGAAACGATAACGTGCTTTTAAAGCGATGGAAAAATCATGACGTCTGCACATTTATGTGCATGTGTGTGTGCATAGCGCTCGTGTGGCTAAAAGAGCGTGTAATTTGCGATCAGGCTATGGAGTGCCGCCATATTGCCGCTATTGATCTTGAGGCCTAAAGTCAACACGGAAGCCAGGATACTGAGGACCAGGGGTGGCCAGGCGGGGGTCTTGATAACACACAAATGCGCGCGCACACACACACACACGCACAAATACAGCACATGCACATCAACAGAATGTAATTGACTTGTGTGGATTTAGTGGCACTTCGAATGACGCTTTATGGCAAAGCAAAGCATTTGTTTCTGTTGGAAGGTCCGAAAATATCAGTTTGCGTTTAAATATGCAGTGTACCAATAAAGTATCCCTAAAAATGAGGTATGACTATATCAGTGCAGGAAATTATCCAAAATGAGTCAGCAAATGGGCATTAAATCAATATTATTGTTTTGTGAATTTAAAAAAAAAATCTGTCGGAATAATTAGACGAATCTAACAATAAATGAACAGTGTCTATGTCTAAATCAACAACTGTAGAAAAAAATAAAACTAATTATTGTATAATTCCATTTGCATGATGTCATAAATAATTACAGTATATTTTCTTAATATTAAACACTATGTTGATTTAAAAAAAAATAGACAGTGTAATATGTATAACGTTGTACCACAACATTCATCTTAAAATGTTTCAACGTGAAACCTTTCTTACATCACCAAATCGCTTTTTTTTCTTCCTCATCAAAAATGTTTTCTCATACAACGGAAAATATTACATTGCACTGTTTCGCATGTTGGGGGCCATGCACGGGGCTATTTTTTGCCTCTCTTTAAAAGTCAAAACGGCGTGAAATTAAATTTTACGCTCCTTTTATCCTTTAACTACTCTCATAACCCAACATGTGTTTATCTACGTGTGTGTGTGTGTGTGTGTGTGTGTGTGTGTGTGTGTGTGTGTGTGTGTGTGTGTGTGTGTGTGTGTGCGCGTGTGTGCGTGCGTGCGCGCCAACTTTCCATGGTGCCCCTGGCAGAAGCTCCATTAAGGTGCAGACCCCCTTCCCTGTTGCCAGGCGCTAAAGTAAATTTAAGATTGTTTGACCAACACAAATATTTACGCACACACACACACACACACACACACACACACACACACACACACACACACATACACACAAAACGCAGGCACGCAGACGCACACGCCTCACACAGCGAGGCGTATATATACCGTCAGCATTTTTGACAGACCAGTCATCACTCACTACAATGGCGACGGGCGTCCTGCGAAACTTCCAGCTGCGGGTGGCGTCCCCAGCTTACTTCCACCCGGAGGAGGAAGAGGAGGATGAGGAAGAGGAGGAAGAAAAGGGGTCCAGTGATGAAGATGAAGAGGAGGACTCCTCAGACCCCCGGGTCTCGTCAGACCCGCAGGACGCCACCGAGCGTCTGCTGAGGTTCGCCGACATCATCAGCCGAGACGTCCGCCGATATTTCGGGCGGCGCGAGGCGCAGGTCGTCTCCGGCGAGGGAGCCGCTGCCGCCGCTGGGGGGCGCCCACATTACGACGACCCGCCAGGGCTGGCCAGGGAGGTGAGGGAAGGGACCCCAAAGGCAGTGGACAAGGGGCACCCCTCCTCTGAACTGGGTCCCCTGGCCGAGCTGTTTGAGTCCCGGGGTAAAGACCAGGGCCGCCCCATGAATGCCAGGCACCTGCCGCTCAGTTTCTGGACCGAGCCGGACCCTTACGATGGGGACGCCTCCCCACAGGACACCCACATGAACTACAGCCTGCACACTCTGGAAAACTCCCAACCAGACTTTAGTGACCTGCTGGCCAACTGGGACCCCAATCCGTACGACGCGAACATGTTAGATTGACAAAAAAAAAAAAAAAAAAAAAAATCAGTTTCTTGGTGGCATTTTATCAGCATCACTGTCACGAATTGTCACAAAGTTTCCAAAATAAACTAAACAAGTGTAATTAATGAGTGAAAAAATTAAATGTTAACATTTTCTACTAATTTGCATTCAATGTCCGCTTTTTTTTTGTGGGTCTACTCACGATTCGAGTGATAACCAAATTTCCTGCTATTAAATCAAACTGTCTTTGGGGCTGAATTATTTCTAAAACTTTGAAGGGCGCATCAGAGCCAATATAGCATCTTCAACCCAAAATGGTCGACCTCTCGAGACTTTTTCGTGGGTCTACTCATGCTCGACATCGCTGTCAAACTTCATGTTGCCAAGTGAAGTTGTCTTTGGGGCAGTGGCGTTATCAGCATTTGACGGTGACGTGGGAAAAAGACATCACGCCGCAAGTGTTTGCTTTGCCACATGTGGCACATGCCAAAGAATTCATTCATTTTTGCAAGCGCGCATAACCTGGTGAGAATTTAGTTGAGTTTTTGTGGTCCTAACATGACGGCCACTCTAGAACTTAGTGAGAAAAAAAGGGCGCTGGAAAATTTGAAAAAAAAATCAGCTCCTGACACAATTTTCACAAACTGACAGGAAATTTGGTGTCTGTCATTACAGGACGCACGAAAAAGTCTCACGGACCATTCACCAAAAGAATTCCAGAGCTAGGACTATGACAAAAAAAATGGACCTGAACACCAGTTTCGGGAATCGACATGAATGAATGAATGTCTGTCTATCATAACAGGACCCACAAAAAAAGCCTCAAGGGTCCATGCTGGGAATTGAACGGGAAGTCGATCTATTTGGTTTGAAGCTGATATTTTGGGGGGAATTCCAGAGTTTGGAATATGAAAAAAAAATCAGCTCCAGACACCAGTTTGATAGATTTCACATGAAACTTGTCTCCATGAAGTATCTGTGATAACCAGACACACGAAAAAGTCTCAAGGACTCATTCCCGGAAAGGAACTGGAAGTGAACCGATTTGGTTTTAATTTCAAGGCGGGACGATGAAAAAAAAGTGATAAAGAAGATGAAGGCTCAAGGAAAGCAGAAATATGCAAAATATCACTTGGCAAAGAAAAGATGATCAGCCAGTTTTGCTCCTCTGGGGCAACTTTTCATGAGAGGGAACAAAAAAAAAAAAGAGAGAGCACTGCTGGAGTGCACCTGATTGGCTGAGAAGGCCAGGCCAGTAGAATTCTGCCACACGCTCTCTCGAATGTTGTCAAAAAGGGTACAAACGGGACCCGCGGCTCCCACACGACCAGCTAAAATGAGGACGCCAACGTTGGTGCTCACAGGCCTGTTGCTGCTGCTGCTGGCGTCCGGCCGGGCCGACGACAAGCATGGTGAGACTGAAAGCGCCACGGAGAAGAGCCCCCGAGATGCCCGGGAGGAAGTCGAAGAAGCGCCCAAGAATGAGAAGGGCAGCGAAATCCGGGAGGACAACAACGTGATGGTGCTCCATGGCAACAACTTTGCCAGGGCGCTCAACCAGACTGCCTTTTTGCTGGTGGAATTTTGTGAGTAGCAAACGCGCACAAATGCACATTCAATCATTGAGGCAGTTTTCATTATTTTAACCCCCCCCCCCAAAAAAATGGGAGTGTTTTAAATTTTATTTTTCTATTTTTTATTACTTAAAATAAAAAATATTCTTATAATGTTAAAGTGTTTGAAGAAACACAATGACTTTGAATTAAAAATATTTTAAAATATATTTTATATTCATTTGTATTTTTTAAAATTCTGTGAAAAAACTTGATTATATTTTTTACTTATATTGGGAATTAATCTCCAAGTATTTAAACAATTTCCCCCATATTTGAAATTAATTTATTTTACAAAAAGCATCCACATTTTTGTTCAAAGGAATTAAATACAAATCTTTCGCATCAATAAAGAAAATCAAAACCAAAACATTATTAGATTGATAATACAATATTCTCATAAAAAAATGACAATTCTGTTTTGCCAAACATGGATTATTATTCCATAAAAAAAACTACATTACAAAAGAAAAATCTAAATGTTACCATACGGCTCAATTTTTTTGAACCTGCAATATTCTGCTTCATGGCAATCTGGGGAAAAAAAAATCTCTTTTAAGAATACTGATGCAGATTGTTGAAGTATCGACTAAAGTGCAACTTTTATTATTATTCTAATAATGTGTAGCGTAACGTTGCTTTTCAGTTTGTATTAAAATAAAAAAAAAAGATATGTTTTCACATGAATATTGTTCATCTTAGTATCTGGAGCTACTTGTTGTATTTTTTAAAATTCTGTGAAAAAACTTGATTATATTTTTTACTTATATTGGGAATTAATCTCCAAGTATTTAAACAATTTCCCCCATATTTGAAATTAATTTATTTTACAAAAAGCATCCACATTTTTGTTCAAAGGAATTAAATACAAATCTTTCGTATCAATAAAGAAAATCAAAACCAAAACATTATTAGATTGATAATACAATATTCTAATAAAAAAATGACAATTCTGTTTTGCCAAACATGGATTATTATTCCATAAAAAAAAACTACATTACAAAAGAAAAATCTAAATGTTACCATACGGCTCAATTTTTTTGAACCTGCAATATTCTGCTTCATGGCAATCTGGGAAAAAAATATATTTTTTAAGAATACTGATGCAGATCGTTGAAGTATCGACTAAACTGCAACTTTTATTATTATTCTAATAATTTGTAGCGTAACGCTACTTTTCAGTTTGTATTAAAATAAAAAAAAATGATATGTTTTCACATGAATACTGTTCATCTTAGTATCTGGAGCTACTTGATTTTCGGGGGTTGAATTCTCCACGTGGAAAGCGGCCCATCATCCAGATGTGCTCCAGCTTCCACTTTCCCACGTGTGCGGGGAGCAAAGTTTCAAGTTCTATCAGCAACACGCAGTCTGTTCAAAAAGTCAGCGAGTCACGTTCCAAATTTATGTTTTTTTTTAACTTTTTTTTGTTTTTTGTTGATGTTGTGGCGTGCAGACGCGCCGTGGTGCGGCCACTGCAAGCAGCTGGAGCCCGTCTTCGCCGAAGCGGCCGACAAGCTGAAGAAGGACGGGCCCGGTGTGGCCTTGGCCAAAGTGGACGCCACCGACGAGAAAGAGCTGGCCGAGGAGTTTGCCGTGTCCAGCTTCCCCGTTCTCAAACTCTTTGTCCACGGCGACCGAAAGAACCCCATTGACTTCACCGGTATGCACAAAAAAAGATGAAAAAAAAACTGTTGTAGCCTGAAGCTAAACTCGAGAATCAACACAAAGCACAAAGCCTAAGACGATAAAATAACAGCTTTTTTTTTTTTTTTTTTTTTGGATTTCTGTTGCGGTTTAATTTCAATATCAGATTAATCTGTTTGTTTTTGTTTTTTTAACCCAATTCAAATTTGTTTTAGTGTCACTTTGACTTTTTTTTTTCTTTGATGTTTTTCCTCATCGAATAAACGGCCATTTTGAATGCTTTCTCCGACTTGAAACTGACACTTTTACTTAGTTACGTGAAATTTGGTCGGCATCTCCTTCCCGAGTTGACCCACAAAAAAAGTCTCAAGAAGCCATGCCCGGAAATTCACAGGAAGTCTGCCATTTTGGGTTTGAGCGGCCATTTTGGCTTGGAAGCAGTCTTAAGATTTTTTTTTTTTTTCTCTGAAAATTGAGCCTCTGAAGCCTTTTTCACTTCAGGACTTGAAATTTGGTCCATGAGTAGACCCACAAAAAAAGCTCAACAAGCCACGTCCAAAAATTGACCGGAATTCTGCCATTTTTGGTTGGAGTGGCCATTCCAGTCATGTATCACTGTACAGAATTTTATTTGAATTTCTAATCCAGCCCCGAAGCCAGTTGGATTTAGCGACTTGAAATTTGGTCGGCATGTTTATAAAGAGTATACCCACAAAAAGCCATCCCCGAATGCACACAGGAAGCCTGCCGTTTTGGTTTTGAAGCTGCCATTTTAGTCTCCATTTCCAAAAGCATAAAACAGGAAATTCTAACAACTCCAAACTGATTCCAGGTAAGAGGACAGTCACGGGAATCATCCAGTGGATGAAACGTCGCAGTGGTCCTGGCGCAACAGTCCTGGCCAATGCTAGCTCTGCCGCCAGCTTTGTTGATGCCCACAACATCACTGTCGTGGGATTTTTCAAGGTACGCCCTCACTACGACGAGTTGATACTCTGCCGTACAGATGGATCTTCATACCCAATTTTCTCGCCCAGAGTTTAGAAAGCGACGCCGCTAAGGAGTTTTCTGAGGTGGTTATGGACATTACTGATACGGAATTCGCCATTACGACGTCTCCGGAGGTTTTCCAGGAGTATGAATTGAAATCCGACACGGTCGTGCTTTTCAAAAAGGTAAGTGCGCAACAGGGTGCTGCAAAATAAGCACAAAATGATTTGGGCGTTTAAAAAAAAAAAGAAATCAAAAAATCAACTACAAATAGTCTGGGTTATCTTTTACATTTTTGTATGTTTTTGTAATGGGTTACTGTGTCCAAAAAAATAAAAATAAATAAAAAGTCCAATTTGAAAAGGGGCCGAGAAATTAATCGGTTGGGCTCTAGTCTGAAGCGGCCATTTTGAAACATGAAATTTGGTGGGCAAGTGTATGATAAATAGACCCACGAAAAAGTCTTAAGAAGCTATACCCAAAAAGACAGAAGGAGTCCATAATTGTGATTTGAAGTAGGACCCGACCGATATAGATTTTTTTTGGATGATTCTGATTCTCGTATTTAGCAGAATAAAATTCCAGTACCTGAAAATTGTCTCATTGATTTCATGAATATATCACCAATAAAATAACTTTTTGGGGTCCCTTAAAACTTATATCAATCAAGATATTAATTACCGTATTTTGGTTTTGTTTTTTTTTTACCTCCATAACAGAGAAAAATCCGCATTTCTTATGTTGTGATGCAGTAATGTGTACCAAAAAAAAAAAAAAAAAACGGATTTGAAGTTACCATTTTGACTGAGTAGTACACCCCTCCAAAAAAGAGTTCATTAAATAACATGAAATTTGGTAGATGTCTATCATATGTAAGTAGACCCACCCAAAAAAAAAAAGCTCTGAACCCAAAAAGGCGCCAGGAGTCAAACAATGTGGGTTGAAGCAGCCATTTTGAATCAGTAGCGCACTTTTCTTCCTTTATATAAAAAAAAAAATATATAATAAAAATAATAATTTTGCACCCAATGTGGTTTTGATTGCCAACATAATCTTCCTCTCATAACTTTGCTGCTGTGAAGTGGGAATTTCTCCATTGTGAGACTATTAAAGGTTTTCTTATCTTAATTTGGGTACGTTGGATGTCTTTCATGAGTCGAGATCATGTCGGATGATTTTTGTTTTTTAGTTTGACAACGGTAGAGTGGATTACGCTCTGCCCGACGATAGCAAGCTGGACAAAAGCAATCTGACCAACTTTATCCAAGAAAACAGCTTGGATCTAATCATCCCCTTCACTAAGGAGGTAAAGACACACACACACACACACACACACACACACACACACACACACACACACACACACACACACACACACACACACACACACACGCACGCACACACGTGCGCACCCACACATACCAACACAAAATTGGCTTTGTGTTGTTTGTGTAGACGGGGGATAAAATCTTCAGCTCCAGCATTCGCCTTCACTGCCTGCTCTTCATCAACTCCACAGTGGAGAGCCACACGGCACTCGTGGACCAAGTCCGGACCGTCGCCAAGGCCTACAAGGGCAAGGTAGCCCTCGATATCTCCAACGCCCCCCCCACCCCTCCCAAAAAAAAATGTGTTGACGAAAACACAACCTGCCAAATCCCGTTGCTTTTTTTGCGCTTCCCTTCAGATGCTGTTCATCACGATCGATTTGTCGGGCGATGTGTCGTTCGTGCTTGAATTTTTCGGCGTGTCGGCGGCTGACGTGCCCACGGCTCGCATCATCAGCATGGATACGGGCAAGAAGTTCAAACTGGACACGGCGGATCTCTCCGCCGACCTGCCGCCATTTTGTCAGAAGGTTCTGGATGGTACGGCCAAGGTAACATACAAGCTAACTTACAGACGAACTCACAGACACATACATTCACTCACTCAGGCTAAATCCTAAACCCAAACACACATGCATTAACAGTCCGTTATTGTAGTACGGTATCACGCTACACAGTGGCGGCTCTTTAATTATTGTGTCAGTTCGTGATCTTTTTCCTTCAAACCTTTGCCATACACTTTCCTCTCGTCTTGGGAGACTCGGTCGGATGTATCCGACCGCTGTGCTCTTGAGTCGCGTACGGCGAGGCTGAGTGACAGTTGTTTTCTTTAAGCAAGATTAAACAAGTGCTTGTGGAAAAGTCTTTCACTCACTCACTCTCTAGCTGTATGATTGGATGCTATTGTAATCTCATTGTCATCAATTTGTTTTTGTGACGCAGCCTTACTATCGCAGTCAAGACGTGCCCGAGGACTGGAATAAAGAACCCGTTAAGGTCCTGGTGGGGAAGAATTTCGAGTCTGTTGCTCTGGATCCAGCAAAGAACGTCTTTGTGGAGTTTTGTGAGTTCCGTTGTTCTCCGTAAAGCTTCCTCAAACTTTTCAGATGTCATCATGGCTATGTGAGATTCTTATTGAGATTTCATTTAAACGGGAGAAAAAAAAAAAACATTTCAATTGCAGATGCTCCCTGGTGCGGCCACTGCAAGGACTTGGCCCCCATCTGGGACCAGCTGGGCCAAAAGTACGCCGGGCATGATGACATCATCATCGCCAAGATGGATTCCACGGCCAATGAGCTGGAGGCCGTCACCATCAACGGCTTCCCCACGCTCAAATATTTCCCCGCTGGTGGAAAGGAGGTACCGACGCACGTATTTCACCACATGTTAATGGTGATAGCTGGAGACGCGATTCGCGACTGTTGTCCTGCAGGCGGTGGAGTACTCGGGGAACCGTGATCTGGAGACATTGTCCAAGTTTCTGGACAACGGAGGAGTTTTGCCCAAGGAAGACGACGATGAAGATGATGACGATGAAGCAGTCTGTGTTCGCATGCTAACCCCAAAATTAATATTCCTTCCTAATTATCGTGATAATAATTAATGTATTTTTTTGTTTTTTGTACAGAAAGAGGGCGAGTCTTTGGAGACAGCTGCCAACACAACATCTGATAAAGATGAACTTTGATGACATTTTTCATGTTTTTAACTCAATAAAACTCCTTTGATCGGGGGAATCGAAGCCATGTATTTTTCATTTATTGCTATTCTTAGTGATGATTGTTTTATTATCATGATAGTTAATCATAATTTATTTTCGGACAGACACTGTCGAACCTCATTACAACGTACCTTGACAGACAAAACTAATCGGTACGTTATAACGCCAGTTTGTAGTCACCAGTTTCCAATAAAATGGCCGCCAAATGCAAAGTATAATACAGTTTGAACATTTGCGAATGTAAAAACATGAACGTGTAAAACAGTGTAAATATCTACATTACAAATACGTGTGTATGAAGAAAAAATGATTTTATGAGACATGAAACAAACAACTGGGACATAACCAATCTATACATTATAACGCTAGTTCGTTGGAACAATTTTTTGATAAAATGGCCGCCAACTACAAAGTATAATACAGTATGAACATTTGCAAATGTAAAAACATGAACATGTAATACAGTGTAAACAGCTGCATTACAGATACGTGAATATGAAGAAAAAAAACGATTGAATGAGACATGAAACAAACGACTGGAGCGTTCCTACCTCATCTCTGAAGATTCGGTCAGTGAGCGTTAGCCCTCCCCCGCCCCGGAGGCAACGAAGACGAAGCCAACTGTCGTCGATTTTTCGTCGTCTCGGCTGAGCTTCATTTTCGGAAGTGAGAGACAAATGCAGACAACGAGATTTGCTTCCGTTGACTTGACATGTTTTCAGACCATGCGCTTCGAATGGCGCCGCGCCTCCGTGAGTTACGACAGAAAGTACGACAATGTATCGAGTCGATCGTTAAGGTTGCCAGGAAACGGAGAAGAATCCCGCGCAATACATTTCGCAGTTCGCTTCCCGCGCTTCGTTGTCAAGAAGGCCTTTTCGCTATTTCGTGGGAAAACGGGCCAGGCAGGACCTTTTGGCTGATGAGGAAGGAGATACGGGACCGGGGCGAACAAGGATGCGGATATGGGGCCTTGTTGCTGTTGACAAAAGGAATTTCATGGCCTGGGGTGGGGGTGGACAAGGAAACGGATCCAGTATCTTGACTGGATGATGAGGCAGAGTCCGGACCACGGGCTGATGGTAAAACAGAATCGTGGGGCTTTGTGGATGACCAGGAGGCAGACCGAGGACCTTTTGGCAGAGGAAGACTACAGGTTTCCGTGCTGAAGCTGCCGCCCCCCCCCACCCCTACCCCTGACAGTCCTAGCCCCAAATAGGCGGGAGAAAATAGATGGATGGATGGAGGAAGCAGAGGCCAGCATCCTGGCACCCAAATCCTGTCCTTGGGCCACTTTAAGTTTCGAGTTAATGGTGGTCAGTTTGTATTTGTTTCTTTTATATTTTGTCTCGTATCTTTTTTTTTTTTTTTTTTTTACAACTTGTAGTAATTTCAGTGCCACACAAGCGTCATCTGTCCTGACCTTGTTCAACTATTACTTTATTGTCGTCATTCAACAATACGCGCACAAAGGGTTTGCTGTCGCTAAATCAAATGTTTCACATTCCTGTCAAAAAACGAGTCCGGCAGGTTGCGATGTCACGTCACGGTCAGTCGTGATGTTCTTCCATTCACATGCTTCCTTCTTTTGTCCAAGGTAAGACCGGCACTCACACTCTTGAATTCGCAACCGGTCTCATAGCTTTGGAGAGTTTGTCGCAGTTGAAAAGCTGCCGGTGAGGGATGTTGTCGATTTGAGTTTCTCCACATAAGATTAGCAAGTAGCCCCGCACCTCTCATGGACGTACGTCTGGCTTTTCTAAGAGATTTCTTGTACCTGTATAAGGTGACGACTGATTGCATGACAATCAAAACGTTCTGATGATAAAGTCACTTGTTTTTCGGTGAAATATGAGCACAAAAATGGTTGAGCGATCATGTCCTTTTCTTGTGTTTATTGACTGCAGCTCCCTATTTGCTACTTTTCCAACGATCGAGTCGTGACTCGGGAAGTCGTCGGCTCTCCGTACCCGTATGAAGTAAATATTTCACGCGTTTACTATTTCAGACCCAATCATTGGGACAAATGCACGCTAAGCACACCTCAGACAGGAAAAGGCGAATCTTAGAGGATGACTTTTTCTCATCCAGCTCATTCCAGCCCGACTTCAACCTGTTTAGCTCATTCCAGTTCACTGTCTATTCTCCCACCTCAGCCTTCACACGCAATTTCTCCCCCAAATGACATCCTCCCATTTGAAGGCGTTTTTTCTCCGCAGCTTCCCGCTTGAGCGAACGATCTGCTGATGGAACCGCCTTCGTATGAAGAGGCGACAGCCCACCAGCAGCCTCCGCCGTCCTATGAAGAGACAAGTTAAGTGACGACTCATCAAGCCCTTTTGCATCCAATATTGCAAGTGTACTTCTTTTCGTCAATATTGGGCCGGTCCTTAATTTAAGGTATCAGGTACTCGTGGAGGCTGCTGATACTAGACACCGATACTAGAGGCAAAAAAATAATAATAATAATCTAACATGGAGTCAGTTCTGTTTGGCAGTAGTTAGCGCAATACTGCGACAGATAGACATCTGTGTTTTTTTCTCATTGTGTTCAATGAAATGTTTTAAATCAAAAGTACATGTATTCGGTACTCGCTAAGGATGGGTACTCAAAGAGTAAAATTTTTGCAGCAACTCTCCAGCCGAGTCCAACTTCAATCTTGAGCGCACCCACCGAGACGCCCACCTTCACACCGCAAGTCACCTGCGATCGACCAGGTATGGTTATGTAAATCTCAACCTGATTGTACAAAAATGGAGACTTCATTCCAAAGTCACTCCAGCGTAAACTTTTAAAATTATAGTTAGACCCCCCCGGCAAAGACATCAATTGAACGGCAACTTCTCTCTCTTCTCTCGATAGATTCAAGTAGGTTGTGATCGATCTGAGTGGCTGTTTTGCAGGAACTGTCCAGCCAGATCCGTTTCCCATCTTGACGACGCCCACCGCCACGACCACCCAGACATCACGAGTCTACGTCCGTCAGACGCCGCAAGTCTTTGTCCGTCAACCATCAGTGGGTATGTCAATCTTACCTACATCATTTTTGTCATGTTTGACGTCGCTTCACGAGCAGACAAAATCCGAGTGGGACCTGGAATACTGCAAAATTCGCACCAATTTGTAATTCAAGCAGACATTCGCCTTTCTGCTTCAACTTTGGCTATTTTTTTTTGCTTTTTGTGTCCAGCACTGTTGCCACAGTCACCTTTGTTACTTGACTGATTACAGTGGTAGCTCTACTTACAACTGTCTCTTCATACGAAAGTTTCAAGTTACGAAACGCCTCAACAGGAAAATATTGCCTCTAGTGACGAAATAAATTTCAAGATACGAAAGGTACAAATACAGTATGGGCAGCTACTCGCAGCTCCGAGTTTCCTGAATGCAACATACTTCTAGCTGCTCTGTCATTGGCTACTACCGAGCATCTTCCTGGCATCCCATTGGCTAGGAGGGACCTCTACCGAACTGTCGTTGTGTGTCAATAGCTAGATATGCAGTGTCCTCGTCAATCGCCCCTCGGGTCATTAGCCGTTCCGATAGTTCGACGTAAATGTGAATCACCCAGAAAAAGTGTTCACCAGTCGGGCGATCGCTCACTATGCTGATGTTTGCCTTGGACGTTTTCGAAGGATTGTTCAAAGCCGACAAAAGCAAACATCTTCGGATCAGTTCCTTACAAAACGGCAGGCAAAAACCACTTCTGAGAGAGAACGTGAACTAAAGAGGGCAAAAAAACGATGAGGTTGTTCAAAGTTAAATGACCATCGTTTTTATCATTTATGCTTTACATTACGCACAACTCTTTTTCGTGTGCAATAATCTGTACACTTTACAAAGTAACGTCTTTCTGTACTTGGTTAGGGAAACGTCGCTATCATCTGACCAAGTGACAAGAAAAAGTCGTTGTCACTTGAAAATGTGCACGTGTTACTTGATATCTCGTTCCCGGCATCATGGGTGTCCACTGCACTGTACGTTTCATTTGATATCCTCGTGCGTCCGTCTTTTTCTCCCTCAGTCAGCACGGTCCATCAGCAGAGACAGCCGACACGCACGGCGCCCGCAGCGCAAGCGGTGGCGACGCAGCCGCAGACGCAGCGGACCATTCCCGTCAGTGACCCGCCGAACCCTGCCGGTTATGTTCGATGTTCAAAATGTCAGCGGGAAGTCAAGCCTAGAAAAGTCCTGATCCCGTCGTCAACTGCCTTCCTCACCTGTTCCCTTCTCATCATCTCATGGTACGCTCCTGGCTTGTTGATAACGTTGCCTTGTGCCACTCATTATTTTATGTCGGGAATATAATGCCATTTACCAGAAGTGGGCAAATCAGTCAATTTTGCCAATTCGTCATTCGCCGTTGACCGGGCCGCCCGTTTGTCATCGTCAATCCGTCATTATAAATGGAACCGCGCTGATGTCGTCAATAAATTACAGTTTGTCGATGCTCTTTTTGAACGGTCATCTCTTGATTATCATCCTCATTTTTTTTTTCTACGTGCATCACATCGGCAGCAGACAATTTGACGTTTACTACGTCAGGGAGGCACAACACAGGGGAGCCGCAGTCAAATAAAGTTAAAAAAAAAAACAGACTCACATACACGGCATGATGATTTGTGAAATAAAAACAATAGCGAACAATGTCATTGCGGTCCACCTACAAAAAAAAGGCGAAACAACACAGCTTCCTTTCCTGGCTCGGACAACCTAAAAAGGTTTAGAGAATGGTAACCGAAATAGAACCGATATAGATTTGGGAGCCAACACACCCATAGGTAGGTCACAAGATCGACTAGCGTATGTGATTCGCGGGGCGCGAAACAGGAGCCCGTCAGTGATCGGTTGAGACGGTCTGTTTGGTACTGAGATGCTTCGTGATGATTCTGTCAGTCAGTTTTTTAAGTTTCACGTGATTCGTCAGCAAAACGGGCGGCCCGTAGTGACGGACTGACTGACCAACGACAAACACCCAAAGCCCTTTAACCGACCCCCCACCCCCCGACCCTCCCAGCCCTCACCGGAAGCCCCTAATCCACCTTAAATCGAACCCCTCTAACCCAAACTCTCAAAGCTAACTAAGACACAACCTTAAACTGTAAAACCCGAATGCTTACCCATAAAACTTCCGAATAATTCTCAGTTCGTTCAACGTCACCCCTTTGACGTTTTGTTCCGCTTGCCTTTCAGCGCCTTTTGCGGCTTCTGCCTGATTCCGTTTTGCATGCCTGAGTGCTGGGACGAGCACTACTTCTGTCCTCGTTGTCGGAAACATCTTCTACGCATCTAGGAAGTGCAGTGAGCAATAGCCGATGGCTCATGGGTGGGCTAATGACTGGTATCAACCGCTGTGCGGACCTTTTTGCAGTTTGTCAAACCTCTGATCAACCACTGAGGAACAAATCAAGTGTCATGATTTCTAATTGTGTCAAGTTTCGGTTTGTGACCAACAGGTGGCACTGTTGGGCTCTCCCTGCAGCTGCACACCTGTTGGTCGGTATGTAATTAGCTGTATAAAAGGACTCCCACCCGACGGGTCATTGTTTCCTTGTTTGCTGCTGTCAGGTTTGTTTCAGTCATGTTTTGGTTACTGGTATGTTTTAGCTTCAGTCATGATTTTTGTTTGATACTTTGGACTTTGTTTTGGATTTACAGCAGTTTTCTCTGTATTTTATCAATCCAACTCAAGTACAACCTGCCTGCTCCTCCCGCCTGCCTGCTTTTTGGGGTCCACCAGCACCTCGCAACGTGACAGATTGCTGGTATAAAATATGCAAAGGTTGAGTTTTTGCATGTAAAATATATTCTTGTTTTCAACTGTATGTTTTATTCTTAATGATTATGTATAATTGTAATTTTACACACATGTTTATGATGGTTGCCGGGCACGCGATTTCACAAATTTACACAGAAGCACTTGCATGCTATGCTACATTCAGACCAAAGGCGAGATGAGATCCAGGGCCTTGGGCAAATGAAAGTCCAGAAGCTTGGCTAGATGAGGAGTGAGACCCAAGACCTTGGGCTGATAAGGAAGGAGATTGTGAGTCTTGGGCAAACAAGGATGCAGATTCAGGACCTTAGCTGAGAAGATCCGGAGCCTAGAGCGAGGAAGAGGGCACATCCAGAACCTTGGGCCTATAAGAAGACAGATCCAGGACTTTGGGGTATCGCCCAGGAGACACATTTGATACTTTGAGGCTGAAGAAGAAGCAGTGCCACGGCGTTACTGCTGATAAGGAGACAGCACCAGAAGAGATCCCATCCTTTGCTCCAATCTATGGTCGGCAGATGGCAGCATCATGCATAGACCATGAACAAGTCACCTAATGCATAGCTTTAAGCCACTTTCAGTTTCAAGTGAAAGCAGTGACTTTATATTGTATTGTTGGGGTTTGTTTGTTTTACAGCTCTTAATAGTTTGGGTGGCAGAAATATGTCATCTGTCACTGTAACCTCATTCGACTGCTCTTCCGTGGTCATCATTCAACACTGTGGCCAAGATGTTTGCGCTGTGTGGGGGGGGGGACCCCAAATGTTTCACATTCCAAAGGCCAAACAAGTCTAACAGGTTGCAATGTGATGTTACGCTCAGTCTTGACGTTATTCCACTCAGTTTGGTTTCCTCCTTTGTCCAAGGTTAGATTGGCGCTCTAATATCTCAACTATCACCCTCTTAATCCTGTGACTGGTCTGAAAAGCTCCTGAGAATTTGTCAAAGGTCAAGGAACATGAATGAGGATTGTCGTTGACTCTTGTTTCCCCACACGGGATAAGCGAGTACCCTCTCACTAGGTCTGAAGAGTAATCACAACCCTCTGGTGTTAGCATTGTCCCTCCTCCGAACCCCCTAACGGCAACACCTGTAATGATCTTCTCAAACTAGATAACATTTTTTTGTCTTTCACAATGGTTGCGCTGTGACACTTACCAGATAAAATAAATATTCTGCGTTTTGGACCGGGTGAGATGTCACACTATCACAATGTGGTGTACTGGTATTTGAAAAGTGACTTGGAAAAAAAAGGGGGAATTATTGTAAAGTGTACGTAGCATTTCACCTCATGCTACGTTTGCTAACCGGCAAACGCTAGTAGCCGATTAGCAAATGCGGTGTCATGAAACAAATTCGTTACCTCAAGTTCTTTTTTGGAAAATAGACACTTCAGACGCCCTCTCTCCACCATCCAGGAATGGGTCTGGAATCTCTTTATTTAAAAAAAAAAAAAAAAAACGCAAATGTACATAGCATTTCTACGTTTGTGACCTGCTAACTCTAGTAGCCAATTAGCAATCGTGATATCATGAAACAAATTAGTTACCTCAAGTTCTTTTGAGAAAATAGACAGCCCATGCCGCTCTCTCTCCCCAACATCCAGGAACGGGTCCATACTGTTTTTTTTTTTTAATTAAACAAACAAAATAAAGCTGTTCGTTGAAAGCAAAATCGGCCAATGGAAAATGAATGACGTGGAAGCGGGACTTTAAAGTGTGAACGTCATAGGGCTGGAAACGGAAACGTGGTACGTTGAAAAGAAATTTGATTTTATCTGGTTGTCTGACAGTGCGACCGTCGTGAAGGACAAAAAAAAAGTTGTGTAGTTTGAGAAGGTCTTTAGCCTAACCACTAAGCCTCAAGGAGGCCCCAAGCCTCCTTTACGCAAACACCGTGACAACCAACCCCGTGATTTAGCCTTCTTTCTTTATTGTCACCTCTTTCTATATGTTGTTCTGTTTACATTTCAGCCTCTCTTGTGGCTTCTGCCGACTCCGCTTTGCATACACGACTGCTAGAACGCGTACCACCTCTTTGTCGGAAGGGGCTCCACATCTATGGCTTGTACTGACTGATATCAAGGACTTTGTGGACTTTTATGTAGTTGTTTTTCCACCCAATGATCAATCGCTGGGGATCAACTCAATGCGAGTGTCATCGTTAATAACAGCATTTATTTTGATGGCAAAATTTGATGCATGTGAAATACATTTTTTTTCTCAACAGCACAGTCTGAGCATGTTTTAAACAATGGCTAGTGATCATTGCTCTTATCTTTTTTTTTTTTTTTTAATGAGGGCTTGCGTTTATTTGCACGTGCAATCACTGCATTGTGATGAAATTGTTATTGCTCGCAATAACAAAGAATTGTTATTGTTTCAAAAAAGTGTTTCCATGCATTTCCCTGTTTCAACAATAAGTATTTGAATGGGCTATGCTGTTTCGCGGTGCAATCAGTATCTTTCGCGATGATAACATCAAATTATGTTCCATTTTTTTTTTATCAGCGTCTTTCTGTGTACATCTGTTTCCATAAAATTTGAGTTTTCACGTGGCTGTTATTTCAGTTATCACTCAATCACTTTTATGATTATTCTCATCCTCATCAGCAATGATAGTCATGCACATAACTCACATCATTGTGCTTGATTCTCATAGCTTTTGTGAATTGCTTATTCTTGATTTCCAGTCTAAGTAACAGATTTGATATTCTTATTTCATCATTGAGAGAGAAAAGAGTTGCTTGCTTTCTTGAAAATGTCATTAGTTTTAGGTTATATTGTACCGTTTGTTTTTTCTTTACTCAAAACAACAACTGCCAGCTCTGGAAAACACCCTATAAAAATATTTTTTGGTCTCATTGCATGTACTTTCTTATTATTGTCCCAATTAAAAGTTGTATTCTGAGTTGAAGCTAAATATTTCTCGTATCTGCGTGTGCCGCACCCCTAAAAGGGTTCGAGCGTCATTCGTGACATTATTGGATGTTATGAAACACGGCTCCGTGAGTGTTATGCAAGTGCAAAAATTAACGTGTCACAAGGGGCAAGTGGAGGCATATGTTGCGGCACATGTCGCAAATTTGGAGCTGCACAAGTTGCATTTCAGTCAGCAACAAAAGCGCTAACTGACGAGCGAGCACAATCGATTGTGTGAGCACATGAATAATGTTGATTGGTGGATAATGTATAGACTGACGATGCATAGCCTGCTCCTGAAGTCGTCTGGCAACTTCACCGGTCCAGAAAAAAAAACGCAAATGTGAACTTGTTTTAACCTCCCTTAATGTCAGATAGATTTGTAATGTAGGTCATGTCACATTCACTCCCTTGTCGTGTCGAAAAGAGGTCAGGTCCTTTTGATTGTCAGACACTTGAAAACCACGTTTAGAAGAATTCATGAGTACTGCTAACATTGCACAGACACAGGAACAAGTGGGACATACTGTTCCATATTTTAAAAAAAACACTCTGTGTTTTTTGTTGTTGTTGAGGTTTTTTTTTATTGTTTTTCATGGAAAATATTTATTACTGGTTCCTTAGCATCTTTTTCAATAATTTGGTGGGGAGGTTAAAAAAATTACATATAATCTTCATTATATATAATATTGCATCGCGACTGGAGTCAAATGGATAACACTTGAATTGGTATCAGGCCAATACCGGGCTTATTTTAAAGTATCGGGGACTCGCAGAGGCTGCTGATACCAGCCACTGATACTTAGAGCAGAAAAATAAATAAGAATAATCTGACATTAAACTGGTCTTCCTCTGCCGTAGTTGGCGCAATATTGCGGCACCTTGACAAATTGGCGAATCTTCTTTTTGGGACTTAATTTAGCAATTGTGATCTTTCCACGCACCTTCTTGTAATTTCTGGAGAATCCCTCTGTGTTGCTCTTTGTTGCTCTTGGGTCCAAACCGCACATATGCCATGACACGCTGCCTCATAACTGGAGTGTATCGCATCCTAATTGGGAATAAATGAATGGTATCATATTGCATTGCTATTCCAGTCCATTGTGTCCATTTTAACGAATGGTATCAAAATTAGACTTAATCAAATGGTATCGCATTGGGTGAATTTTACGATATCGCAGTTGGAGCGGATCAACTCGTGCGAAATCTATCATAATAGGAGAGTCAGTTGTTCCTGTAATTTTATTTGTGTGATTCAATTCACAAAATACAAATGTTTGTGTGTTGTTGGTTGAAAAAGGCTTGCCGTCAACTAGTTTGTTTTACTCAGAGAGCTTGGATGGATTTTTTTTTTTTTAAACCTACTTATGACCTATACACTTTAGGTAACATCTGCTGAAATTATAGGATGTCAGGATGTCATAACTATTTTGTAATTGCAGTAAAGAACTGGTTGGACAGGCTTTGATCTTGCAGCTATTTCCGACAACTTACATGTCGCATCGTCACAGTCGAGCTCGCGACTCTCCAAGGTAAGACCGCCGCTCTCGGATCTCACACACATCATATCGACTCTCCTTTCGGTCCTGACGGACGCACAGCACGGATGTGAAAGACGCATTTGCGTCCATTTCAAACGAGTGGTCACAGCTTGGTAGATTTTTGACTTGCGGTGATGTTTTTGTGAGTTGACCAAATGACACAAGGTCAATGCTTGAAGAGGGATTGTTCACAAAATATGGACTACTTTTATTGGGAGGGGCAGGGGGCTGTTCTCTGTGATTGGCCAGCAACCATTCGAGGGTGTGGCCTGTCCAAAGACAGCTGGGAGAGGTTCGAATAATGGATGGATTGGATGAAGTTTGGAAATATTTTGGTTGTAACAATACAAACTTTTTCAGCATTTTAAATCATCCTTCCAAATTTGATATAATCTACAAAGTAGTACATGACCATTCAAAACTAAAATGAGAATGAACATGCTTGAGAAAGAATATGAAACAAAATAAATCCATTTAAAAATCAACTCAGAAAGTTCATGATTGATGTTCATTGACAGACATGAAAGAGGAGGACATTTTTGCTGTCATTCTGTTTTTTTTTTTTTTTTTTGGCGGGGTACTTTATAAATGCAAAATGTAATTTCGGTTCGTTTTTGTTCACGGAAATCTCCATTTTAGTTGGGGTTATTTTTGTCAGTTTCCGTGAACTGTTGCATTACAGGGGTCTCAAACTCATTTCTGTGAAACCATATCAGGAAGTCAAGAATAATGGTATATTCAAGTATAGTTTAAGTTACTGTAATGAGGGTTTTGGCAACAAGAAAAGTTAAAATAGCTCTTTTATATCTGACATACGAGAATTTGAAGTATCGGTCAACATTTTAGTAAGCATCACAGAAGTCAACTTTTTGATTTGCTTTCGCGGGCCACATCAAATGATACGGCGGGGCCAGATCCAGCCCCCGGGGCTTGAGTTTGACACCGGTGTATTACAACCTCGGTAGGAACAGAATCTGCTGAAAACGCATCCTCACTACTATTTGTCTTCATCGTGAGCTTCTTTTTGGGTTGGTCAGTACCTCGATGGAGCCTCCGACGTACAACGAGGCCACAATGCTACCTTCCGCTGTGGCCGTGGAAGACTTTGAAGTTTGCCCTCCGCCTTCTTATTACGCTTCCGTTTGCCAGCATTCAAACCCGCCTCCTTATCAAGAAACCAGTAAGACCCAGGTTGAACAAATCCAGTCTCAAGGATAAGTGAGCCTTTTTCAACACCGATTGTGTGTCCAGATCCGTTTCCTGCCTTGATGCCAACTATCTTCCACGCCCCTCAGACCTTTCCAGTCATCCATTCAACACCGCCGGGTACGTGACCAACTGAATACCTCCAAGTTCAAGTCACAGAAAATCGACTGTACGTCAGTGTCCTTGGTTCGCAAAAAGTTGGTTGAGGGCTGGCTGAGGGGCCAGTCGGGAAAACTGGGACACAAAGTAGAAAAGCTAACAAAGTAAAAGCAGTCGTAGGACTCAACAAACTCATTTGCCCAACTTTGGTGACAAATCGATCCACATCAAAAGTCCTCTGTTCACAAAAAGCTGGCAGATTTGAGCTGAGAATTGAACACCAGCGGAATAGAACAAGTGAAAGCACTTGTTGGAAGCAACTCATTAGCATGACACGAGACACAAATCCACATCGGTTCTTTGTTCACAAAAAGCTGGTCAATCACCAACGGTGGCTAAAAGTCCCATCAAGCCAACTGGGAAGTATCACCCTGCCAAAGTCAAAAAATGTAACAGATGCAACTCAAATTAACAAGGTGGGTCACAGTAGATGCCAACCAATGTGTTTTGTTCACAAAAAGCTGGTCGATACCAGCGCCCACTGAGAGTCAGATCAGGACAGCGAAATCAGGTTTAAGTGTGTACTTCCTGTTTTTGTGTTGCTGATTTAACTGTCGGCCAGGTCCAACATCAACCATTTTTTGCAAACAAACCACTTTGATAAGAATGGCAAGTTTGATTTTAGCAGGTCCCTTGCTTCCTGTTTTGGTGTCTTGACACGACACTCACTTTCTATGGTCAATGATTTTTGTCAGGGAGTAGAAACCTACCAAAAATAAAGCAGTTATCAGTGCTAAACAAACTTAATTTCCAAACATCTGCAACAGAAGATCCTCATCAAAGTCCTTCGCTCAGAAAAATCTGGGAGCTTTATGACCCAAATAAAAAAAAAAAAACGGGTACCCACAGCGGCTCCTCTCGTTCCTATGGTTGAGAGGAAAGAAATGTCATCTGTGCTGTATGTTGCACACAGAGCATATTTGACAATAAAGGCTGACTTGACTTGATTTGACTCGATCTGAACACAAAACCGAAAAACAGCCGTCACAGCCGGGCCACATCAAAGCCCTTTGTCCACAAAAAGCTGTCAGCGCTATCAGGAACACACAAACGTGAAGTAGAATCCGACCAACATCAAAGCAGGGCTAAACTTTGATGTCCCACTCTCACTCCCAAAAATTCAAACTCGAATATCCTTTGTGTCCGTATTTGTTTACAAACAGCAGCTGTGGTGTCCCAGCCAACGTCCGAACCAACTTCAACGACGTCCAACCTGCTCGGCTCTCCGGGCAGCGTTCGGTGTCCGCACTGCCGCCGCGACGTTGTCACCAAAATCAAACAAATGCCCTCGAAGAGGGCTTACACTTTATGCTGCGTCCTGTCGTTTTCTGGGTAATTAGCACCTTAGCATGTGAGCATCTTGCCACTTTTTACTTACCATTTTTCAGATTTATTTATTTATGTATTCATTTATTTTTCCCAGGCTGGTTTGTGGCTTCTGCCTGATTCCTTTCATGATTCCAGACCTGTGGGATGTTCATCACTACTGTCCTCACTGTGGAAAACATCTACACGTACATCATAAATCTTGACGTGGATCCACTCTGGATTATTTGAACACTTTTTGTATGCAGATCGAGGAACTTTTTGGGGGGGGGGGGACTTAAAAAGAAAACAAGGCCACATTAAACGTGGACCAAAAAAACAACAACTATACCTCCAAAAATGGAATTAGCATCTTCAGAGAATATGTTTTTCTTGGGACTCATAACAGTAAAGACATTTTGGCATTAAACGTTTGAACAGAAATATTACTTTGGAGTATTTTTCTTCCTCAACCCAATGATTGAATAAGTGTTTCTTTCTCCACTTTGACCTTGTTTTTTAGGCAAAGTGCATTAGGCAACTATTAGCAATTGTCTTGATATGAGCAACCGCCAACGACGGGGCTCAGATAGCAACGAGTTAATGAGCGACAAGACGGACCTGATAACATTCACAACTACCCGTTCGGCCCTGGGACACTCCCGTCCTTAACTCGCAACGCGTTGCAACAATGGCGAGACGGCTGTTGCTACTGCTGGGGGCGGCGGCCTTGTGCCTCGCTGCAAGCGGGCAGGACGCGAAAACGCTCCCGGAGAAAGATGGCATTTTACAGCTGAGCAAGACAAATTTCCACGTCGCGCTGAAGACCTACAAGCAGCTACTGGTACACTTCTGTAAGTTACTCAACGCCATGCTTCTGTTTGGATTGGACGAAGTGACATCATCGGAACTACTTGCTGATTGCAGATTGTGTATTTGTTTTGGATCTTTGGGCCCTCCTTGCCCTGCTTTGAAATTGTGCAAGCGAGCAAACGCATCTTGATGCAAATACGCTCGGCTCCTTGAAATCGTCTTTGATGTTTTTTGTAAAAAAAAAAAAAAAAGATTTTTAGGTTTCCTAAATTCCAAATGATCTTGTTTTTGACGTAACTTGCGCTCGGGTCAACGAAGACTCCAAATTGTCTTTGATGTTTGTCCCCCGTCCAGATGCTCCGCTGTCCGCAGATGGCCGTCATTTGTCGGAAGTGTTTCAAGAAGCCGCCGGCGAGCTGCAGGACTCGGACATTAAGTTGGCGACGGTAGATGTGACGAAAGACAAAGAGCTAGCCAAAGAACTGAACGCAACAGGACCGCCAAACATCAGGCTCTACCTTTTCGGAGAGAAACTAAACTTCGTGTCCTGCCCCAGTGAGTTAAATTTCAGTCTCGCTCAAAAAGTATTTGGTTGTTCATGCAATTTGGAGTACATATTTTTTTGTTGTGGAGTGATGAAAAAGAGGTAAACAATAAACTGAGTATTATGATAATGGATGGAACAGTAAATCATGGTTTAATATCATGTGAGGAAAATGTATTGTATCTCAATTTTTTTTTTCTTGATCTGAAGCGCAAAGATTTCCTTTTTGTTCAATATTTAAAATATTGGGGTTGGTTTTCTGCATACAAACAAACATAAATACAACTTTTTCTGCTTGTGGGCTGAAATCTCAAAAAATGTAGTCGACTAAAAATGTACAATTTCCACGGCGACGGCGTGCGATTCAAGTTCCTCAGAGCGCAGCTTCCATCGTGACGTGGTTAAAAAGGAGGGCGGGGTCTGCTGCTGACCTCATTACCGATCTCAGCCAATTGGGGAGCGCGCAGGAGGAGCTCAGCGTGGTCGGATTCTTTCAGGTGATGGCCGTCAAGATGGCCGTCTCTGTTCTCTTCTCATCAATAAGATTGTTACAGTGTGTGTGTGTGTGTGTGTGTGTGTGTGTGTGTGTGTGTGTGTGTGTGTGTGTGTGTGTGTGTGCGTGCGTGCGTGCGTGCGTGTGCGCGTGCGCGCGCGAGTATAGGAGCTGGAGAGCGAGTACGTTCGGGTGTTTTATTCGACTGCAGTCAGCCTCCCGGACATCAGGTTTGCAGTGACGCAAAATGATGATGTCATCAATAAATTTGATGTCACGCATGATGTTGTGCTGCTCCTTAAACAGGTGGGTACAAAATACCAATCAACATCTTATGTAATGTTTTTGGAAGGTTTGTGTGAGAAAGGAATTGGTTGACCTAATAAATAAGCGAATGCGTTTTGGGGTTAGGCCTATGCTGTCAAAACGTGTGACAGAAGATTTAAAAGTAAGGTTTGAAATTTGGGTTTGAAAGTAGAGGTAAAGGTTTCAAGATAGCGTTTATGTAGGGTGACACTTGATAACAGTTTCAGGGGTAGGGTTTTATTAAGTCGGGTGAGGTTTTCAAAGTAGGGAATGAAATTAGGGTTACCAACCAGGGTTAGGGTTTTGTATTAGGATTTCAAACTAGGGTTAGGGTTTTAATTTAGGGTTCTCAATTAGGGTTAGGTTTTCAATTTAGGGTTCCAAACTAGGGTTAGGGTTTCATATTAGGATTTTAAACTATAGTCAGGGTTTCAAATTAGGGTTCTAAACTAAGGTTAGGGTTTCAAATTAGGATTTCAAACCAGGGTTAGGTTTTCAGCTTAGGGTTCTCAACTAGGGTTCGGCTTTCAAATTATGGTTCTCAACCAGGGTAGGGTTTCATATTAGGATTTCAAACTAGGGTTAGGGTTTCAAATTAGGGTTCTAAACTAGGGTTAGGGTTTCAAATTAGGGTTCTCTACCAGGGTTAGGGTTTCATATTAGGATTTCAAACTAGGGTGAGTTTCAAATTAGGGTTCCCAACTAGGGTGAGGGTCTCATATTAGGATTTTAAACTAGGGTTAGGATTTCAAATTAGGGTTCTAAACTAGGGTTAGGGTTTCAAATTAGGGTTCTCTACCAGGGTTAGGGTTTCATATTAGGATTTCAAACTAGGGTTAGGGTTTCAAATTAGGGTTCTCAACTAGGGTTAGGGTTTCAAATTAGAGTTCCCAACTAGGGTTAGGGTTTCATATTAGGATTTCAAACTAGGGTTAGGGTTTCAAATTAGGGTTCTAAACTAGGGTGAGGGTTTCAAATTAGAGTTCCCAACTAGGGTTAGGGTTTCAATTTAGGGTTCTCATCTAGGGTTAGGGTTTCAAATTAGGGTTCTCAACCAGGTTTTGTGTGTGTGTGTGTGTGTGTGTGTGTGTGTGTGTGTGTGTGTGTGTGTGTGTGTGTGTGTGTGTGTGTGTGTGTGTGTCCACAGTCGCAGCTGATTCAGGCTTACAAGATGACGCCGCAGACCTCCAAAGAAGACTTGGTGACTTTTGTCAGCGTCTACCAGATGGAGGCTGTCACAGAATATTCCGGAAAGGTAGCCAAGGATGACTGAGTCATTCAGTTCCACACTTGGGCCCCTGGTGGTGGCTACTCACTTCATCACCATGCAAACAAATTTGAAAAACAAAAACAAAAACAAAGAGAAAGACATGTAGGTGATATTGATATTAAATTTGGTCAGGTCATTTTGACTTGATTTTGATCTATTTTAAAATGCTAAACACATTGAATTAAATAATACAAATGACTTTGAATCAAGTGGACGTTTGTCACAAATTAAACACGGAACGTAATTGAAAATCAATTGATTCGTCAGACGGCCACTCAGATCCTGTCGTCGCCGGTGCTTAGCCACGCCCTCCTTTTTGTCAACAAAAGCTCGGCCGATTTCCATAAGGTTCACTCCGCATTCAACACCGTCGCCGAGGTCTTCCGAATGAAGGTGACACACACACACACACACACACGCACGCACGCACGCACACGCACATGCACACACACAATCACCTCAACTCCTGTGTGTGTGTGTGTGTGTGTGTGTGTGTGTGTGTGTGTGTGTGTGTGTGTGTGTGTGTGTGTGTATTTAGATTTTATTCGTACTGGTGGATGTGTGGGAGCCACGTAATGGCCGCCTGATGGAATACTTCCGCGTACGGGCCTTCGAGGCTCCTCTCGTACGATTGGTCAACCTGACCGATCACGTGACCTACCAGCTGCCCTCGGCCACGCTGGACGCCGACTCCATCGAGGCCTTCTGCCGGGACTACCTGGATGGCAAAGCAAAGGTACGCACAGTACCTTTGCTTTGTGTGCGATGTGTCACATAAATCAATGGCAGTGTTGGGGTGGTTGTTGGGGTGTGGGGGGGGTGGTGGTGTACTAGCCCAAAATGCAGAGCGAGCCCATCCCTGAAGGATGGGACCAACGTCCGGTGAAGGAACTGGTCGGAAGCACTTTTGAGGAGGTTGCCTTCAACCCCAACAGGACTGTATTTGTCTTGTTTTGTGAGTTACTTTACGTACACGTACACACACACACACACACACACACACACACACACACACACACACACACACACACACACACACATTTACACGTATATTGAGTGTATGTACAGGTGTACCTAATGAAGTGGTCCGTTTGTGTGCGTGTACTTCAGACGTGCCGTACAGTCCAGAGTGCCGAGCCGTGTTCACCTTGTGGGAGGAGCTGGCCGAGGCCTTCAAAGCTCGCGACGACGTGGTGGTGGCTCGCATCGACGCGTCGGCAAACGACATCAACATGTCGGTGCAGCGTGCCTATCCAGCCTTCTGTCTCTTCCCCGCGCTCTACGCAGAGAGGGTATGATCACAAAAGATCACGAATTCCAGTCAGTTGTACGCAACAAGCCGGTTGATGCCGCCCGGCTCGGAAGGAGAGTCCAAGCCTTGGACTCTATACATTTTATAGTAAGGCGTTTTTATACGAAAACAACGACCACGTAAGATGTTTCTGTGTTAATATCTGTGTCAAAATAATTTGTCCACGATATGCTACTTCTTTCCATCTTTGTCTGAGTCACGATGAAGTAACAGAAGTAGGAAGTGGAAACATTCCAAAATAAAACCAGTAAAAATATGAAACAATTAAAAATACCCAACACCAGTCACATTAAATCAAAGTTAGTCTTTTATTCAGAAAAAAACGCAGTTTAAAAACTCGTAGCAAGACAACAAAAGCAGGAAATTCAAATCTACCGAAATAAAACCAATAAAAATGTGAAGCAAATTCAAATTGCCAACACCAGTCACAGTCTTTTGTTGCCAAAAAGCTGAAAACAAAAATAGGAAGAAGCAACCTCCCAAAATAAAACCAATAACAACACTCAATGTACTTAAATGCACAACAGTAGCCATAATCAATCTGCATCAAAATAATTTGTTCACAAAAAGCTTCTTCACCGCCTGAGAGTCATATTAAGGCATCCAAAACTGGAAGTAGAAACCTTCCAAAATAAATCCAGCGACAGCGTGAAACAAATTCAAATCCCCGACATCAGTCAAGTCGGTCTTTTGTTCACAAAAAGCTGGTTAAAAAAAAGGCTCAGATCAAGACAACAAAACCAGGATAAACAAGAAGCTCTTTTTTCCCCCCAGGCGGTGTTTTACACCGGCGACAGGAAGCTGAAGGCCCTGCTTGCTTTTGTCCACCAGGAGATGAAGAAAGCCGCAAAAGACAGAATGAAGGTAAACGTCCTGTTTGTCCACGTGAATAAAACGTTTGGCTGAAAATAAAGCTTTTATTGTGGCGGGGTTGGGGCGAGAAGGAGAACGAAGACAGGAGGAAGTACGTGGAGGTCATGAAAGCAGAAGATGAGAAGAAAGAGAGAAACGCCACCAAGGACGAACTCTAACCATTGGCTAAATGTGACGTGGAAGACAAGGTCAAAGCAAGAAAGAATCCATCTTCAAAATTATATAAATGATTTTTGTATGACTGAAGAACTGAATCCTGTTTTTGATGTCACAATAAATCGGAGCAGCACAAATATGCCACAGCAGTGGCTGGGCATTTGAGAAATTGCATCATATACATTCCATTGACAATTATTTGTATTATTCCATGTTGTCATAATCATAACAATCATCCGAACTGCTTACCCTCGCGACGGCCATGACATAACAATAATTATAACAGTCGCATTTTTACTAAACGAGCACTGGATCATCGTTACTGTCACATCACCATCGTGACTATTTTGATACTAATAAGATAAAACTAATCGTAGTGTAGTAAAAGTCATGATTTCACATGTACTCCATTTCGATTTTCCCATTTGGATGATAATTATGACAAAAACGTAATAATGACTTGTAAAACCTTATGTTTTACAAATTTATTATGACGTGTTTTTTTCTGAGACTACAACAATGTTAATACTGTAACTTCACGTTTGAATTCATAAATAAAAAATGTTTTACCGTCATTATTATTATCGTGGTCATACTTGCTGACGCAACAAGTGTAGTGAAAGTCACGCTTGCTAAAATGACGTCACAGCTCGTTTGGCTGTTCCTATTATTTGGACGATTGGACGCAAGCAAGCCAATCCGAAACTGGCGGCAGTCTGGCTGTGACGTCATCGCCAGGCTGCTGGAGGCTGCTGCGGCGGCTGCGCACAGCGGCGCACAGCTGCTTCTGTCGCCGTCTCGTCCGCTTCTCTCGGCGGGGTGAAGGAGCCGCGCTAAGCCAGTGGAGGTCGTCGGTTCGCTCGAAAAGGGTGGCTGGAGGCGGGTGGGTGCTGGGGGCTCGTCCCGCCGGCCACAATGGAGCCAGCGGCCGCCTATGGAGCCGCCAAAGCCGGGAAGGTCGTCTTCGACCCGGTTGCCTTCTTTACGCATCCGCGGACCATCATGAGGCTGCTGTCGTGGGTGAGCATCTGCAAAAAAAAAAAAAAAAAGTGCGGGGAGGGGGTACATCCATTTCTTTGTCTCTCTCCTCACATTAAGTGCATCAACCCATCAACCAGCATTTTTTTCTCTTATGTTATTATTTCGTTAAGACGTTCAGGTTGAGGCTATCATTGTGTAATTGGTGTCATGAACAATTGTCTTGCATCTATTTTTGTATTTAGCTGAAAGCTTCTTTTGTCCACAGCTGCAATTTGCACATCTTACCGAACCATGGTTTCCCTTTTCATTTTCGAAAATCCGTACAATAATGATCCAATCGATACCTAAAATTGATTCTGAATGTATCTTTTAAAATAGTTTAGACCGATATTTTAGCTGTCGTTGTCATTTTGTCTGTGTACTATGCAGAGCATTCGATTTTATGTCAAAATTAAAATGTAAAAAAAAAAAAAAAAAGTGATAAATATGTTAACTTGTAGCTAATATTTTTTATAAGTAATTTGTATCTTGTACAAACATGGTCCCTTTGGTAGATTGGACCATTTCTGTACATTTTCTTGCATGGAACAGTACAGTATTCACTTGTACTTAGTTGTTCAATCGTGAACACTGTTGGGTACATCACAAAAAGTTGTTCCTTGTACAAAACTGGACACCAACGGTCCCATTAAAACAAGTCCAAGTCTTTAACGTGATTTAAGATTTAAAAGAAGACACGCAAACCCACATCAAAGTCCGCCAGTGAGCCGAACCGGAATCGCTTCGTTTTGTTTTGATGAATGGCGGCAGGTGTTCTCCATGGTGGTATTCAGCTGCATCGTCAACGAGGGTTACGTCAACATCGGCAGCGAGCGTCTGCTGTGCGTGTTCAACAAGAACGCCGACGCGTGCAACTTTGGTGTGACAGTGGGCGTGGCCTGCTTCCTGGCCAGCGCCTTCTTCCTCCTCCTGGACGCCGTCTTCCCGTCCTTCAGCAGCCTGGCGGACAGACGGCGCGCCGTGCTGCTTGACCTCGTCTGCTCAGGTAAAAAAAATCAAAAACACAAAGAAAAACATTTGAATCCCGGCATGGACTTGAAACCCTACTTTGGAACCCAAACAATAAAAACTTAAAACCTTGTTTGAAACACTAATTTGACATCTACGCATGAAACTTTAAACCTGGCTTGAAACCTAACTTTTTAACACCGAACTTAACCCGAACTTGCAACCTTGAACCTGGCAAATAAAAAATAACCTACCTTAAAACCGTAACATTTGTTTGAAACCCTAATTTGTATCCTAGTTTGAAACTTTAAGGCTGACTTGGAACCCAACTTTTAAACACCAAACCTGGCTTGAAATCCTGCTTTGAAACCTTACCCCTTGTTTACAACTCTGACCTTTTTTTTTTTTTTTTAACCCTTGATTGAAACCATAATATTGGTTGAAACCCTACCGCGAAAATCTAATCTTTCTTTGAAACCCTAATGTGAAACCTCAACCCTCATTTAAAACTCCAACTAATATTTGAAACCCCATTTTTTAATCTCAACCTTGGCTTGGAACCCTACTTTAAAACCCTCCATTGAAACCTTAACCAATGTTTGAAATCCTATCCCTGTCTTAAAACCCTTCTTCAAAACTCCAACTTTTCTTGAATACCCTAATTTGCAACTCTATCTGCAATTCAAAAAGCAAACCAAGTCAAACCCTCATTTAAAACATTCACCTTGGTGGTAACCTTACTATGAAACTCGAACCTTTTAATGCAACCCTAATTGGAAACATTAATCCGAGCTTCAAGCCCTACTTAGTAACTTTAATACTTGTTTTAAAATGTAGCCCTGGCTTGAAACCCTGATTTGTAAAGGTGATCCTTTTTTAAAACCCCAAATTTGAAACCCTAACGGCAATTGAAGAGTCTAACCAATGCTTGAAACCCTAATTTAAAACCCTACCCCAGGTTGGAAATCTACTGCGGAACCCTTATCGAAAAGCCCTGCCGTCATTCAAAGCTAGGCTTGAAACCCTACTTTGAACCCTTAACCGTGGTTTGAAGGCCCTACTTTGTGAACTTAGCCCCCATTTGAAACTCTGATTAAAAAGCTTAACCGCATCTTGAAACCCTATTTTGAGAGCCAAACCCTTGCCGTTTGTGCTTTTGCCTCCTCGAGGCATGGCCAGCTTCCTGTGGTTCGTGGGGTTCTGCTTCCTGGCCAACCAGTGGCAGGCGACGTCACCGGACGAGCTGCCGTTGTCCCAGGGCGCTGATGCCGCCCGAGCCGCCATCGCCTTCTGCTTCTTCTCCATCATCACATGGGTCGGTGGCAAGCAAGCGCAATACGATTCCAGTTGTAACCGTGACGTGCCGAGATAGTCGAACCAATCCATCGCCCGACGTGACCCCTTTTCAAATAACATTTTTAAGTGACAAAAGAATATTTTTAAAAATTGGCAGATTTTTGGCAAATTTCTTTCCACATGAATGCGTTACAGCATGCGAGAAAGACGCCCTAGCGCCACCTGTGGTCGTCATACTAATTTGAGTGATTTTTTTCATCCCTCTGAAAACTTTTGTTTGGACAACCGTTTTAACTTAAAAAAAAACACATAGCAAAGAGTTTTTTTTTAAAATATATTTAAATATAAATACACTGTATTTTTAAAAATATATATCATCAGTACATTTGTGTGGATGCCATCAAATTAAATAGTATTAAAATGTTTAATATTAAATATTAAAATTGTAGATTAAATTAATAAGTTACGTCATATTTTAATTTTCCTTTTTCCTTGTATTTTGAATGCTTAAATATATATATATATATATAATTTTTTTTCTAGTTTTTGACACTTTTTCCTTTTTTTAATGTGACATAATTTGTTACATGTGTTCATATCACCTTAAACCATGACATTTCAAAAGATTTTAAGGTGGATTTTATTGTGTTAGAACTTAGGGCGATAAAATGTGAACTTTATCACATTATAATATGAAATGGATCATGTTGTAATGCGAAGCTTATCCCGATAAAATGTGGACTTTACGTCACATTATTACGTGATATGAAATCTTTTTTTAATTGACGGCGGCAGCAATGCACTAATACAGTATTTGTATGATGGCCTTGTTTTTTTTGTCCCAAATTTGTTACTGTTTGACTTTTTTACCAAATTTTTTTCCCCACGTTTTCCGTGCACGTTTTTAACGTATACGTTGAACTCATTGCATGCTAACGGGCTTCCCGTGCCCACTGACAGACGGTGCTGACTCTGAGCGCCCTGCGGCGTTTCCTGTCGGGCTCGCACGCCAACCTGTTCACGTGGCAGCACCTGGACGCCGCCCCCGGCCACGCCCGGGCCACGCCCTACCCCATCGCCAACGGCGCCACCATCGTCACCACCAAGCCCTACCAAGCCCCGTCCTTCACTGAGACCCTGGACCCGCAGAAGCTCACGCAGCAGCAGCACAGACCCGTAGCGCCCGCCTTCTAACGCCCGTAACTAAGGCCAGGATCTTGTTGCCACGGCAACCTGCTTTCTTTGCTCGCTTGGGCACGCACGCTGGCAGCCACGTCACTG